AAAAATAAATGAATGCTAACAGACACATAGTGAAAGTATTACATGTGTGATCTAAATATAGTATTTTTATTCCACAGCATACAAACTGAACTGAAGATCCGACAGCTTCGCTCTCACCCCAGCTTGCAGCAGGGTTTGAGGTCAGGAAATTGCTCCCCTTCGTGAAGCCCTCACCCTCCTCCATACAAACCGCCTCCTCCTCACACGTCTACTCTAGAACCTTGCTGACAATTCTCACCTCCCTTGTGTTCTAGATTTTCCTGGGGATTAAGCAATGACAATGTCAGCACAACGTCAGGCTTCAGATTTAAAATGTCCTCCAAAACCCTCCTGTGTCTAGAGCTGGGGCTTTGGAAGGTGACCGGATCACGGGGCGCTGTGCTCCTCGGTGGATCCATCGTGGACGAGCTCCCTGCTGAATGTGCTGTAGGGGGCGGGACCTGGGTGGAGGTGGTCCCTGGGTGTGACCTGGAAGGGTGAGTTCTTGTCCCCGGCTCCTCCCTTCTCTCTCTGCTTCCCTGCACCATGATGTGAGCATCTTTCCTCCCCTACGCCCGTCCGCCATGATGCTCCTGCCTTGGGGCAGCCGGCCATGGACTGCACCCTCTGCAGCCGTGAGCTAAAGTCAGTCTCTCTTTTTTGAAGTTGCAAGGGTCAGAAATTCTGTCCCAGTTATGCGAAACTGACTAAAGCAAAGAGCATCTAAAATTGTAAGCACATTTGCATAGTGGGAGCTCGTGTGAGAATTTATCCGTGCACAGAATTCCTCCTTTTGTTCTCTCACACACCCACGGTCCCTCTGTGATTTGAACTTGTGTCCTCTCCTCCCCCAAACCCTGCTTTACAGACTCTCATGCTTTTAGACTGCTACACAGTGCTTCGCTGGGTTAAAATTAAAACAACTCTGTTGGCTTCAAGAGCTCTTGAGATATCAAGGGACAGACACGGCAAATGAACAAGTGACTATTATCTCACGTGATTCTGCATAACACAACCTCCCAAAGTCTCCCATGCCAGGGAGGAAGAAAACAAAGATAAAACTTACTCTGTGCTTCAAAAGTGAAACATAACTGTGCAGATGAGGCAGTGCTCTCCCAGGAATATCATATGGGAAAATGTGACTTAAATAGCACCAATATTTTTTACAACTATTTTGTATATGAATGTCACTCCTGACTCACCTAGCTATCCTCTGTATCACCTCACTACCACCATGATTTTGACATGAATGGCTCTATTTTTGGTAAATCCCCATGCCGAATGATTAAGCGTGCACTGTAAAATTGATTTGAAAAAATGTGTATGCTTTTCATCCCCCCAAATAACTAGAGATGATGATATCTGCTACACTGGAGTTGTTTCCTGGGAAATGATTGTTTGTGAAAGTATTTCTACTTTCAAGACGGGGAATTCTGTATTGGTAAGCCAAGGCACTCATTTTGGAAAACAGATTCTACCCACACACTGGGACCTAGATCCATATTTAAATTCAATTTGGTGGAACAAGTATTTACTAGGTGCCTATGAGATACAAGAGAGTGGACATTATTTAACACAATTAACAGAGAATTGCCCTAGCTTTCTTTTTTATTATTATTATTGGTTTTCTTTTATGTATGTGGTGCTGGGGATCAAACCCAGGGCCTTTTGCATATAGGCAAGAGCTCTACCACTGAGCACATCCCCAGCCCCTAGCTTTCCTTTTGTCTCTATCTCTCTATCTCATCTCTATCTCTGTCTCTATCTCTACCTCTACCTCTATCCCCATCCTTACCCCTGTCCCTATCCCATCTCTACCTCTATCTCTCTCAGGATTGACCGCAGAACCTTTGAATGGAGCTACGTCCCAAATCATTTTTACCTTTCATTTTGAAACAAGGTTTCCCTAAGTCTCTTACTGGCCCAGACTTGGGTCAAACTTGCAATCCTCCTGCCTCAGCTTCCCCCAGTGCCATGACAACATGTGTATGCCTCCACCCCCTCCTCTGAACTGCCTTTACTTCCAGGACATGGAATGCATATTTGAGTACTTACCTACCATCCAATCCATTTCCTCTACATTGTCGCCGTATAATCCGTATTTACTGTGTCCAACAAACTTGTCTCTGGTAATAAGTGGAACACGGACATGCAGGAAGGAAAAGAAGAGGAGAAAAGGTCCCCGTTTGTACCTAAGGGGGAGAAAGGCAGGGCAGTTAGCGTCAGAAATAAAAGCGCACCCCAGTGAGGACACAGTTCTGTGTTCATTGGAAGATCTCCTAATCTGATGGCCAGTTGGGGTTTCCAAGTGCTATGATCAATGGCAATTATATGAACCATAAACACCACAGAGAGTTACACTGAGACAGTGGGGAAGAAGTAAAAGAAACCAAAAATCTGCGTTAGCCATGAAGTCGTTGGTGCGGTCCATTTTCTGTTCTCCGTTACAAGGCTTTGCATCTGAGATTAAATGGTCTCTTGATAAACCTTTCTGTCTTTGGTGAACGGACGAAGCCCCTTACAAAGCCTGAGAGTGTTTCTCTTCCACCACCCCTGAGCATTCTCTTGGGTCTACGATAGGAAGGATCCCACCCTGAGCAGAGTCCTGGATATGCTACACAGAAATTCTGCTATCCAGGTGGACCCATGCTTGTCCTGAGCATAGAATCGTTTTCAGACTCCTGTCAATCTACCAGGGTCTGTTTGAATGAATACCATCCATGCCCGGGCAAGAGGACATAAGTAATTATATAACATGCCATTTGTAGAAAGGAATCCTTTTCCTTTCTTCCTCCTTCATGATGCCTGGAACCCAAGCATGATGGCTGGATCTTTGGCAACCATTTTGGGCCAGTAGGCTGCTCACACAAGATAGCAGAGGATAAGGCAGAAAAAGATGGGGTGGTAGTCACCTTATATCAGCACCCCAAGAGAGGAATAATTCTCTCTCATTGAAATGTTGCTTTGGGTGTTCTACTTTTTTTTCTCATGGTGCGATTGACTGAGCTCAACGATATTCTACCACCAAGCTCTATGGAAGCCTGGGGGGACCACAGGGAAATACTGCCAATGACAATCCACACTGCCAATTGGAAGGTTCCTCTGATTTCTAACCTACGAGGGCTGGCATGGAAAGATAAGAGATCATTACATTCACATCCTCATAGCTTCCATTTAAAACTTAAACCTAACATTATTTATTTATTCATTAATTTTTGAGACAAGGATTCACTGCACAGTTCAGACTGGTCTTGAGGTCACTACGTAGCCCAGTCCAACCTCAAACTTGAGGTGACTCTCCTGCCTCAGCCTCTGAAGCATTAGAATTCTAATTGTGTGTCACCACACCTGGCAAAACTGGGAATTTCTAAACACACAGCATTCCCGTATCATTTATGACAGCGAGAACTACCTCCACCTGTGTCCACGTCACAGCAAAATCAAGATCCCACCACCCAAAGCTTCCACCCATTGAGATCCCCTAATCCACATGGAAATCATGCACATTAAAATAAGAATAAAACGGATCAAGAGAAAACTTGATCATTCGTCTTTTCAGCGTTCAAAAACTGCAGGGAATTTATTTTAGTCCATCTAAGGAGACTTGCAGGTATATCAGAAAAATCACCTAAAGTGATTGCATCTTATTTTTTTGGCGGCAGGGAAGGAGCCCAGGTCCTTGTGCACGCTAGGGAAGAGTCCTACCTCTGAGCGACATCCCTCAGCCCCCACCAAAAGCAGCTTCAACCCATCGCTTTGTACCCGCTCCTGGAAACCAGCACAAAGCGCCCTTTCAGGCAGCCTGGCGAGGAAGGATGCGCACCGTTCTATGAAGCCAAGAGCTTCCCTCAGCAGGAGAGCCGAAACCTTCTCCGCCCTCATGGGCTGCTGCACGATCTCGTGGTTCCGCATGAGGACGCAGTTCCAGCGCTGCACAAAGCCGTAGCTGGAGAACCAGCCCAGGAAGAAGAGCAGCGCCAGCACCGCGAAGAGCACGATGACGCTCCAGGGCACCGGGAACCAGCCGCTGAGCTTGGGCGCCAGCAGCAGCAGGGGCACCAGGCCGAGGGCCGCCGTGGAGATGCACAGCTTGATCCGCAGCCAGCGGTGCAGCTCCGGGGTCCTGGCGCCCTGGCAGTCTCCCAGGAGACCAAGGGGCATCCCGTAGAAGTAGTGGAAGCCGTGATTGAGCGGGTGGAAGCAGTGATCGTCACGGGACGCGCAGCTCAGGCCCAGGTGCCATTTGCCTGGGAAGACAATAAATACAGCAGTGGGAGTCGCAGGTTCCACCCCGGTTGTTCCTACAAGTTGAGCTCAATTTCAATGTCAAAAGGAAACCCCAGGTAGCTGGTATTGTGGAGCCAGGTGGTGCACACCTGTCATCCCAGCACTCAGGAGGCTGAGGCAGGAGGATCACTGCGAGTTTGAGACCAGCCTAGGCTACAAAGTGAGCTCATGGCTGGCCTGAACTGCACACTGAGACCCTGTCTCAAAAAGACACACATACACACACACACACACACAAATAGGTAGCTGGTAGTGTCCAGGCTTCTGAGCTCACTCTGGAGGATCCTCAGGTGAGTCACAGACATGTGTCCCGCCTCCTTTTCTACGTAGTCTGCACTGGGCAGTTCACATCTCTCCCCTTGTTGGAAAGCAAAGATGCTTTGTATCCAGAGAAATAGTTTCAATGGCGTCAAACAACCATATGGACAAGGAGACATGCAGGTATATCAGACTGCACATTGATAGTTCCCTCAAATGCACCCAGCCAAGAAGCAAAACCCCATGATTGTGGGTTCTGCAGCTGCACTGTTGCTGAGCTGCAGTACATTCTGCACACCAGAGCTCTGACCTGGAGGTAATTTCCCACCCCCGTATCCTGTGCTCTCACAACTAAACCAGACTCCTCCCGACGGAATTGCTCTCCAACAGCCGCAGGTCCAAGTCACCAGGGGATTTCACCACAAGCACGCCAGCATTCTGCTGATGTAATTCCGTTTACGCAGCCTGGAGTCAGCGGGGCTCAACATACGTCACTTTCTTATTGACTTGATTGTGCTGAATCCTACCCTGAACCTTCCCTACCAAGGCGAAAGGCACCATCTCAGTGTACTCACCAGTCTGAGGTCACACGAATTAATAACACAACCCTTGAGGGTGAGCTCCTGTTTGCTCGTGAGCTGAAGACATGGGAAAATTTCTCAAAGATTGTGCAGCGGTCCCTCTGCTAACGAACTTAATTCTTTCCACGATTCAGTTAACGTCATCAAATGAGGAACCAAATCAAATTTCCCCATGAGGCCCACAGTGAATCTCACCGCTGAATTTTATTTGGTTCTCAACCGATTCAATTTGCCACCAGATCCATGGAAAGAAGTTCACGAACCGAGAGACCACTGCAATTTACATTTTCCGGGTGAGAATATGCATTGCACTGGTCACAAATTTATTAGCTTATTATTGATTTTATGGCTTATTATGAGTTATAATAACATACAGTATATAAGCTTATATACTATTATAATACTTATTATTATACATTATAATAATATACAGTATATAGTTTATATACTATTATTATTAGCTTATTACTATTATTATAGCTTAGTTCTATTTTTAAACCAAAGAAGTGCACAATCATGTCTTGCAAAGCATATTGACAGTTTCCTCAAATAACAATATGGATAGAAATGATTTGATCCCCAAATCTTGTCTTAGAGGGAGGTGAGAATACCTGATAAGTCTATAATTCTCTGGAACATCTTCCTGAAGGACATGTGAGATTATATTCCCATACTCCACCGGGAGCACAGGCTCCTGAAATAATCCGGTCATAATCCTATCAGTGTGACAGAGCGATCCCTTAAGTTCTCGACTGGCATAGCACTTAATTTAACATCTATTCACCTGCCGCCGACCAGCAATGTCAGGACAGGAGTGAGAGCCCTACACAAAGTCCCAGTTCGGTGGCGAGGTGCGTGAGCATGGTGTGTTTGTCGCCTTGGACGGGGATGTGTCTTGCCTCGGTCTCCCCCACACAGACCTCTGGAAAGCATACCTATGAGTCCCGTGCGGTAGCCGCGGTGCTGCAGCATCTCAGCGAACGTCGTCTCGTTGGTAGGGAGGCCGCCAGACCCAGCCAGCCAAGGGAAGTCACGGTTCAGGTTGGAGGAGGACGCCATGCCTGCATTCGCAAGCACAACAGGTGAATAAATGTCCCAAGACAGCCTGTGAGCACCAGCAAGCACGCCGATGCACTGGAAGCTCCTCCCTCCTTCCCTTTCTTCCCCAGCCCTTTCTCTCTCTTTAAATCATCTTGCAGTTATCCGTGGACCTTTGAGACCAAGAACCCAGGTGGGTACCAGCATTTATGGATGTTCACATCCCCGATATAAAATGACAAAGCTTGGCCAGGTGTGGTGGTGCTTGCCTGTAATCCCAGCGCTCAAGAGGCTGAGGCAGGAGGATCATTGTGAGTTTGAGACCAGCCTGGGCTACAAAGTGAGCTCAAGGCCAGCCTGAACTGCACAGTGAGACCTTGTCTCAAAAAGACAAAAACGTACCATAGCTTTTACACATGAACTACCCTCCTCCTCCTGTATACTTTAAATTATGTCTCCATGACCAATAATGCCTAGCAATCTAAATGCTGTGTCTATCATTGTTAAATGCATTGTTTCAAGAATAATGCAAGGACAAAAATCCATGCACATGCACTATGGATACATTGCTTTTAGCTGTCTTACTCTCTGGTTGGTTGACTCCACATACTCAGCAATGCAGATATGGAAGACGAAGTTCCTCCTCTTTCTTACTAAATGTAGATCGTGCCCCAGAATTAGGGATGGCCGTGCAATGCCTATGGGACACTGACTTGCCTTTGAACTTCATACAGCAGTGAATAATTTTTAGTGTACATACCTCCCAAATACTGCACGAACAGATGCTTATCTCAAAAATGTACAAGGGGTGATCAAACTATATTGTGAACATCTAACTAGAAAAAAAAAAAAGTGTTATAGTAAAATGCACATGGCCACGAATCACCCTCAAAATCCACCTGGTTTTGCACACACTCATCCCACTGTCCTGATCACTTTCTGCAGCAGCTCTGGAGTCCTCTTTCCTGAGGGTCTTTACCAGGTATGCTAACAAACATGATCACTGTTGCTGCTGCTGAGCGCCGTCCAATGGAAAGGCAGCTCATAAAAATCAGACGCTGCGTCCTCATCAACCTTATTCATGGGGTGCAGAACCGTGGGGCTTCTGGCTCCTCCCCAAGGTCAAAATGACCGGAAAAGGTCAAGGTTTTGAGCCCATTGACTACACTGAGGCAGCCAGGACAGCGCAGCTAAAGACCCTCAGGAAAGAGGACTCCAGAGCTGCTGCAGAAAGCGGCCAGGATGGTGGGATGAGTGTGCACAAAGCCGGGAGGATTTCGAGGGGATTCGTGGCCTAGCATCTATTACAGTACTAAACTGTTTCTAATTTAAATACTTTCCGTTCATTTTTATCACACCTGGCGTTTGTCGCTGAGTTGGAACAGAACACATAACCGGGCGTCTTCATGCGATCTTACCCTTGGACCTGAGCTCTGAGCTTCCCTGCCATCCAGCCCGGGGCTGAAGCCTCACATCTGTGCTTTACCCTGGAGTTTAAGGCGTCTCTCGGTGTGTGACCCGCACATCCCCTCCTCAAGCACAGAACTCCCACGCTTGCTATTGCAAACTACTTTCAACAAAGCACAACACCATCCAGCGTCAACCCTGACAACCCCACACCTGGAAACCTTTCCACTGACTGTCACGCCGGGAGCCGAGGGCAGAGCTTCTGCTAGGCTCTGCGAGCTTCTTTCTCTCTTTCTCTTCTCTGAGCCTTCCGGGGGACTCTGAGAACATGAGACGCTCCCCCAAATCAAACACTCTACCGCTTCCCCGTTAAGAGCTGAAGCCCAGGCTGGGAAAATCTTCCGGAAGGACTGTCCTTACGTGGCTTATGAGAGCTGTCATGGATCCCTGGAATTCTGATAAAGAAGATGCACATGCCTTCCAGCTGCCGGACCCCATGTAGCTGGGGATAGTGTTGTGCCTCAGATATGAGGGAACCCCAAAAAGCTCAGTGCATGGAAGGTTGGGTTGCTGATCGACTTGCGGGGAGGTGATAACATCACGAGGGCTCTGAGCTCACGCCTGGATTAATCCACTGATGGGTTCAACATGGGACACATAATAGGAAGGCAGGGGAAGCTTAGCCGGTGGTGAATGCTTGCGGGAAGGGGGTCATGAAGGTGACCTTGGGGTTTTATCTGCTTGCATCCCCTTCCCTTTGTCTGTTCCTCTCTCTCTCTGCTTCCCGGCCACCATGCTGTAAGCATCTTTCCTCCCCCACACCCATCCGCCATGATACTCCTGCCTTGGAGCCGCCGACCATGGACTGCACCCTCTGCAACCGTGAGCCCAGTTCAACCTGTCTTCCTCTGGGTTGTCATTTTAGATATCTTATCACAATAATGGAAAAATGCCCAACACCGGCATCTGCCTGTTACTTGGAATTCCACCTAACTGTGAATTACAGGCACAGAAGCAAACAGTGAATAAAAAGAGATACTTAAACTACAGTAGCTCTGCGAGTCTGTCTGCCCCATGCTTGCCCTTTCTCAGTGCAAGAAAAATTCTACACTGGCACGACGCTCTTGATGCAGTGTTCGACTGCAAAAGCACATGTGTCGTCTTTGAGAAATTAAGCTGTCCACGTCTTGCAAGATAAACCTGTTTGGACTTAGGTTTCTATGACTGTGAGTGATTATTTGAGAAGTCTTAGGCGGAGTTGAAAACGTACGTCACTAGAAAGGCTTCCTGTCAGGGCTTGCATGTGGGTCGGAGTCCCAGCCCTTGTCTAGGACAGGTGAGGCCCTGGGTAGGAAGGAAGGAAGGAAGGCATGGAGGGAGGGAGGGAGGGAAGGAGGAAGGAAGGGAGAGAGGAGGCTGAGGCTGACACACCTGCCCGGACAGGGTAGCGCCCGGTGAGGAAGGCGGCCCGGCTTGGTGTGCAGATAGAAGCAGCCGCTAGGTGCTGGGTGAGCCGCACGCCCTCGCTGGCCAGGAGGTCGATGTTAGGGGTGCTGTAAGAAACAAACATAAAAGATTTCAGAGGTGAGTTTCTAAATCCCAAAGAATGATCGATTTAGCTCAGCGGCACAGCGCCTGCCTGGCAAGCGCAAGGTCGTGAGTTCGATTCCCAGTACTTGAAAAAAAAAGAGTGATCAAGCCACAGAAGCATTCTGTCTGATTGTGGTCAACACACAGCACACCTTTTTATTAAATCCTTGATATTAGAGGAATGGTTTGAAATAATACAGAGGGCAGTGTCACTCACGCAGTCTCTGGCATGGCTCTTTGAGCGCTCTGTTATCCACCACCCACCATGCTCTAAAAAACGTCACATAGAAAGTTCCAGAACTCAACAATTCAGGACTCTAAAATTTTACACTTTTCTGGGAGCTGGATGAAATTGAAAGCTCTACTTCATGCTACCTTGGTGTGAACTGACTGCAATGTATCCATGCTGTGTATACTACCTGCCCTTTACTATAGAAAAACACATCATACACACAAGGCACAGAGATGTCAAAATTCACTGGCATCCCCTGAGATTATGCTAAATGTGTAAAATGCTACAGAATTGTACACTTTCAATGATGAAAAATTGCCCTAATATTGTTTGAACAAGATATCATGCTTGGGCTGGGTGTGGTGGTACATGTCTGTAATCCCAGCACTTGGAAGGCTGAGGCAGGAGGATTATTGTGAGTTTGAGGCCAGCGTGAACTGCATAGGGAGACCCTGTCTCAAAAAGACAAAAATAAAAGATACCATGCCTATGTCTTGTACTCTCAGTAACTACTATGAAGGAAACAATATGCACTGTATTATTTATTATTGTCACTCTCCTACTAAGCTGTTCTGAAACTCCACTTTATTGATTTTTTTTTCCTCTTTAAAATAACAAAATTGTTCAGGTTTATGCCTCATAAAATAATGAAAAAAGAAAGAAGAAACTTGAAGTATTAAAAACTGTAAAAAAGGTAAATTCTACGGCATCTGTATTCACCTATAACAAAAGAACAACCGCTACAAACTAAGGAGGTCAAGCTGCGAAATACTGTCTTTATTCTTTGGAACCTCCTCTGTATGACCTCTGCTGGTTTGTTTTATCCTTTTTCTGATAGTTATCAGGGAACCCAAGATGTCATGACTGCTAGGAAAAAATACTCTACCACTGAGCTACAGCTCCAGCACTTTCTATTTTATTTTGAGACCCAGCCTCATTAACTTGCCCAGGCTGACCTTGAACCTGAGATCCCCCTGCCTCAGCCTCCCGAGTAGCTGAGCTCCTTCCCACAAACGGCTGTCCACCAGGGCAGAGACACGGGGTGGGGACGTCAGGCAGCACCACAGCAGCGGGCGATTCTCCGTCCGTCTTTACCTCACTGTGTTATTACCGTAGCAGGATAGATCGCCCAGCCCGAGGTCGTCTGCCATGAGCAGAACAATGTTAGGCCTGGAGTTCCTCGTCAAAAGCGCGCAATTTATTCCCCCATAGATGCAGCAGACGAACATCCACAGCCAGCAGCTCCTGACGGCGTTTTGAGGAAAAACAAGAACAAAGGAAAAACGTCACAATGAATGTCTGAATGTCTGTATTTTAGGCAAATTCATCAACTCTTGCTTTACTATGTACCTGCCTGGGCTTGCTCAAGTCAGGATTTCTTTAAAAAGTCATTTTCTAGATGAGTGTACTATCACACTTTGGTAGTCATGGTGAATTCTTTCTTGATCTTTCCTTCTTTCTTCCTTTTATTTTTTCTTTGTTTGTTTGTTTGTTTGTTTGTTTGGTTTCCAGTACCGGGAATAGAACTCACAACCTTGCACTTGCCAGGCAGGCACTATGCTGCTGAGCTAAATCCCCAGCCCCCTCTTTCTTTCTTTCTTTCTTTCTTTCTTTCTTTCTTTCTTTGCTTACATTTTCCTGCACATGACTTTACATTCATCCTTCTTCATGGCTGTTTAGTACTCCACAGTGTATAAATTCCTCTTGTTCATCCATTCATCCGTTTTGGCTATCCAGGCTGCTTCTAAAATGTAGCTACTATGAATTGTGTTGCTATAAAACTGGGTTTGCTTGGGTCACCATAACAGGATGTCTTCATTCCTTTAGGAAGACACCTAGAAGGGGAATACCTGGTTCCAAGGCAATTTCTAGTTTCAGTTTGCTGAGGAATCTCCATACTGATTCTTACACCATGACTTTTCTTATTTTCACTCCCACCAAAGATGTAGAGGGGTTCTCTCTCTTCTCTGCAGGCTCTCCAGCGTTTGCTATTATCTGATTTTGTTTTACATCATAATAATTTTCATTTATTTTCCATCAGCCGATGATTGCAGTCCTTTTGGGGTAAAACAGCATTTGTTGATGAGGTTATTAAAATTTGCAAAATTCAACATTCTGTCCTGTTCAGACTCTATGTCCTCCCAAACACACAGTCACCAGCACGTTGGAAATTATCTCAACAAAAGGTGGCAAAAAGCCTCCATTTCTGAAGTCTGAGGGAACTTTAGAAACAGTTTCAAGTCAAAATAGTTTCCTCTTTAGGGCAATTTTGTGCTTTAGGACATCTTCTAAGCATGCAAATATAATGGAATTGCGTGGCTATGGTAACAACACATCCTGGTTTTGATTATTTCTGCTTTATTTCTGTGATACTGGAGACTGAACTTAGGGCTTTGCATGCTCTTTCTTGCTTTCCTTCCTTCCTTCCTTCTTTCTTTCCTTCCTTCTTTCTTTCCTTCTTTCTTTCTTTCCTTCCTTCTTTCCTTCCTTCCTTCCTTCCTTCCTTCCTTCCCTTCAAGAGGGCTTTGCAAAGTCACTGTGTTGCCCAACCTGGGATCCAACTTGCAATCCTCCTGCCTCAGCCTCCCAGAGTGCTGTGATTACAAGCATGCTTCACTATGCTGGCTTTTGTTTTTGTTTTGTTTTGTTTTGTTTTGAAAATAAAAATTGCCACTGCTGTGGTTTGAATGCCTCCCCCAAAACTTCATGTGTTGGAAACTTCACCCTCAAACTCCCACACTGGTGGTCTTCGGAAGTGGGACCTTTGGGCGTTGATCAGGATTGGATGAAGTCGTGGTGGTTGGCACTGCATGGTGACGCTAGTGGAGTTCTAAGGGGAGGAAGAGACGCCCAAGCCGGCTCACGTGCCTGTCTCCCTCGGACGCCGTGTCAGGGTGCAGCCAGAAGTCCTCTCCGGAGGCAGCACCGTGCTCTAGGACTTCGTCCTCCAGAACCCCGTGCTAAGCAAACTCACTCTCCATATAGCACCAGCCTCAGCATGGACTGAGATCGTCCCCATAGCAGGTTCCTTGGTGACGAGGTGGATGTGTGTTTTGGGGACCTGGTCCAACTGCCTCCAGCATGACCACCTCCTGCCTGCTCTGGGCAGAAGTCCCTTCCCTCCACCTTTCGAAGGACTGCTCACTTTGGGATGGAAAAGAAGCCACTGACGGCTCCCTGTATTGCACAGAATTTAGCTCTTCCTGGGTCTCTCCTTTTATATTCTTCCAAGACAGGTTCACATGGGACGAGAGAAATTTATGTTCCCTCTCATGTTTTGCACTGGGACACCAAGGCCGCCTCTGTTAATCCCCCAGTGAGCGTTTCAGAAGGAGTCATGCTTGGTTATGTCACCACAAAGATGTTTTCTCTCCCTCGAGGTCCCTCCTTTTCACCATGAGCACGGTGGTGGCGCACACCCGTCATCCTAGCACTCAGGAGGCTGAGGCAGGAGGATCATTGCGAGTTCGAGACCAGCCTGGCCTACAAAGTGAGCTCAAGGCCAGCCTGAACTGCATAGCGAGACCCTGTCTCAAAAAGACAAAAGAAAAAAGACGACCACTCCATGGACAGCTCAAGGGCATCCTTCCTCAGGAGAAGTTTGCTCAGCCTCCCCACCCACCACGGGTGTCCTCTTCGGGTGCACACACTCGAATTTCTGCACCTGGGGTAGGCCTGGCCGCTGGTCACTGCGTGTCCACTGCACTTGGGCGTCTCAGCCCCTTGGTATTTGCTCTTCCCGGGGATTCCGTCCCAGACTGTGTGTCCCGAGCTGGCGTGTGCCTCAGATTCCCTCTTGTCTGTGTGGGGACCCCAGAGCCGGGCCGGCGGAGCACACAGCTGCGGGGAAACGGCTGGTTCTGCCCCGCAGCCAAGGCGGAAACCGTGACCCCCACGGGAGCTTAGCTGGGAACTTCCCAGGAAACTTCCTCCTGAGCCCCGAGGAGCCCTCCCTGAGCTGTGCAGCGAGGTCC